TTTATTATTAGTAGTCTAGCCGCGTCGCTAAGCAGAGATCTAGCTACTTAGGTAAAGAGCGTCGTACTTCTTTCTAATCTTATAGCTAAACTCGGTGAAGGATATAAGGGGCTTATCGATTAAGTCGATATCGATGATCTCCCGAAGTCGGGGAGTTAAGCGGTTCTAGAGGGCGTACTTCTTCTAGCGCTCGCTTATAATAAGTTCGCCGGCGTCGAAGAGGTAAGAGAACTAAGATAGGAAGTCGCTAAATAACTAGCTACCCTATATCTCTAAGTTTTAGAAATCCCGTTCAGAGCGTATAGCTTTGTTATAGTCGCCGAAGATAGATCTAAGGTACTTAAAGAGGTCGTTATAGTTCTAGTATCGCTCGGAGGCTATACCTATTATACGTTAATTAATATTCCGTTCGGCTATACCTCCGTATCGAGAGTAAGCGTAGTCTAAAGCTAAGGGATCGGTAAGGTCTAGCCCTATACTATATAGCTTACGCTCTATCGCGATCTTCTAGTTTTCCTAAGTTATTTCCTTTCTATCGGTAAGTAGGGGTGGATCGGGGATCTTAAATTTATATATAGTATATATAGAATCGGAGCGGCCTATTATAGTAGTATCTATAGTAGCTTTACGCTACTCGCGTTAGTTAGTAGGAGGTACGGGGCGGCTCGTTTCGATTCGATCGGCGGAGGTATAGACCTACTAGAGGGTTATCTACAAAAGCTTAATAGTAGTAGCGTTAAGATCGGTACGTTCCTCGGACTTACGGAGGAGCTCGTCATTCGTTATCTTCTGGTTTATTAGTTTAACCACCTTAGCGGTAGCTATAGCGAGCTATCCGCGTTATTCCTCTACTTCGTTATCGAGATAATATAAGTAGTCGACCGTCGCTCGCTATATATCCCGTATCAAGTCGAATATAAACCTAGGTTCGTCGCGTACTAAGTCGATGAAATTCTTACGGCTAAGTTTTCTATCGCGTAAATACTCGAGTAGATTATCTAGCTAAGGTATAACCTAAATAAAACGTATATTATAGTCTTTACAGGGAAGATCGTTAGGTCTAGCTAAGGAGCTCTATCGACGTATACTACGCGACTCTCTCTAACCGGGTTCTTTATTAATACCTAGGCGTACTATATTAATAGGTACTACTATATCGATCGTTCAAAGGGAAAAGAGAAAAATAAGGGAAGGTAATATATAAAGACTTAATAACTCGTGGTAAGCACCGGTCTATCGTATAAAGGCAAAAAGAATATTAAAGGTCTTAGTTTTTATATAACTCTTAGGTAGTATAGCTACGAGAACCTACGTATAGAAGGAAGAAGGTAAAGTAACTGTGTCCTATATAACGAAGAAAACTAAGACGAAGGGGAAAAAGGAAAGGAAGAAATAAGGAAGGTAAAGTACTACCTTAAATACCTATCGTAGGCGGGGCTATAGTAAGGCGGCAGAATCCTTATAGAAAGTCCCGGATAGAAGGTTCCTCTATAGAAGTAAACCGAAAGGCAAACAATCCTTAGGCTCTAGCGCACACATACGCGTGAGGCTTCTATTAATAACGCGTAGGCAAATATCTGATCTCATAAACGCAAACATCGATCATATGATCTCCTCCTTAACTCCCCAAGTCCATATCCATCAACTAGCTAACTAACCTACTAGTTGATACCAACTCGCCAGTCGGCTGACTAACTAGTCAGTGAACTCACCAGTTCACGGTAACTGACTAGTTGACTCATCCAACCAACTCCACACTCCAAGTCTGTTCACGAACTGGTCAACCGACTAGCTAGTTGACTATTGACTTGTTGCCTATGCGTTATACTCTACCGTAGCCTCTATTACCTCGGCCTCTTCCTCTGTCTTTACCTCGATTACTTTAGATAGATTTAGCTTCTTTTAAGGTAGAAATAGCTGCGATTACTATATTTACAGACTTTTTATTCGACTTATATTCGATGAATTTACCGAAAATATAATTAAGTATACTATCCGGATTAGTTAGAGGTTTATATATATTTAAGAAACCTTTTATACTTTAGTAGCCGTTGATTGTAAGCTTAAAATAAGCTAGAGCCTATTTAGGTAGTAACGGGGTATTTAGAATAGCTAAATTCGTAAGGTCTAGAGTAGCTTACTATTTAGTAACGAAATTATACGGATCACCCCTAGTATATATAAGCTTAATTAACGAAGATAGCCTATAGCTTAAAGTAGTATAGTTACTAGTACCGTATATATTACTGATTCGAAGAAATATTTTATAAGAATCCTTATAATCGCGTATAAAGCTACGAGCTGAATCGCTAAGTATATAATAGATAAGGTATTTCGTAAGTATATATTTGCGGCGAAACTAGTGAAATCGGTTATTTAGTTAAGTTATATTTTTATTAATCTACTTATTAAATTCCTCTTCGGTAGGCTCTTATCTAAGTTAAGCGAAAAGAACGTTTTAAATAGCTTCCTCTATAGGAGTATCACGAGGCTCTTAAATAGGATATATTATTTTACTAGTAATAATAGACTATAGGTCTTCGTCTAGGCTATCCGTAATAAATTAAAGTCCCTATCTCTACTTCTCGAAGTTAGCTCTTCCCTTAAGCGTAGGGACTAATTCGGCGAAGGTTTTAGCCGTCTTATAAGCCTCGAGATCGGAAACTATATTAAATATTATAAATATATTAATCCTACTACGACGAAGTGCTACTATATAGGTAATATATAGCTTAAAAGCTCTAAATAGCGTAAGAGCCGGAAGATATAAGGTCTACTATAACGAAGGTATATTATATAGTAAGCCTACTACGGCGAAGTACCGCTACGTAGGCGTGCCTACTATAGCGATATACCGCTACGTAGGTAAAGAGCGTAAGAGCTCTAAAAATAGCGTAGAAGCTAGAAGGATTTTGTATATTTTTGAAAGGCGTTAGAGCCGAAGGAGGGACTTTTAGCGACGATTCGATACAATAGCTTCGGTAGCCGTATTCGATACGTAAGGATCGTCAAGTCGTAAAGAGGTACGAAGTCTGCACTCTAGAGAAGGCGTAAAACGCGCCGAAAAACGATAGAAAAAGAGGTTATTATGCAAGTTGTACCTAGGCAGTGAGGAAATGTGAATAACCTCACTCTTTATGCGCTAAGCAGGGCTTATAACCTATTAGAGGCTACTGGGAAAACGTAGCAGACCCAAAAGAGGGGAGAAAGGAATAGTGAGATTGCATCTGGTGAGAGGTGCCTATCTAAGCTACGAAGGTGGTGTGCGTGGGCGCGCACCACGCTGGTGACACGCCTGACCACCAAGCTATCTCAACAAGATAGCAGCCCAAGTACTTGGCTGAGGCTTCATAAGTGCCAGCAGTTGAAGAGTCCGTACCAACAGCGTCACTACCTGCTGCAAAGACCCCGGTAGATATTGACATGACTGCCAAAGCCAGCAGTGCGCCATACGGCGACAATTTCACACGCTCCATTATCTGCAAGTCTGTGGGCAGAAACTCTGCGATTTGGAAAAGTTTGGTAGATCACTGAAATGCTGGGTCTGTAGCATTGGCTGACAATTTGCTTAAGTACTCCAGCCAGTTCAATTTCCCAGTGCTATCGCGTAATGACTGTCGCGTCAGCCCCAGTGGTACCTAGCTCACTAGTCGAGAGTAGAAATGAGATACATGAATACCTTGATTGCATGACCTTGGCAAGCAGGCATCGGGGTTAGGGATATCCGAAAGTCTGTCGTCATAAACCTTGGCGAGGAACCAGTATGGGTGCTATGCTTGATGCTGAGAACCTTACCCACCATATTTGTCTTGTGTAGGCACATCTGTCTGCTATTACCATGCTCATCTTAATCCGACTGAATTACTCGGCGCATCTTGCTGCCTCGATGAATTTTCTTCTGACGTCCTTGGATAAGGAGCCAGCATGGTCACTCGTATTATTTTGCTTCCTTTTAGAATTCAAGACCAATTAGTTCGGAAACCTGATCCAACTGGGCAGGGCTTGTGCTGGCCGGGGAACTTTGCTACAGCAGTCACCAGAGCAAGTGGTGAAATGGCTGTATTAGCCTGACTCATTCTCGAAGCCACTGACCACCACGATGGACAGAGTCGTTCACGACCACTCATTCAGACCATCATGAGCGTCAATTGATTCCCCGGGTCAAGGCTGCAGTCTGAGCAACTGAGATCCTACACGATTGATACCCAATACAGCAAAAGAAGGGCTAGAAAATCCACCACACGGCTGCCGCTAGTCTTCATCTCCAGTCTGCCTGCTTGCCCGCCTGAAAAAGGTCATGCATTCCCCGCGCAAAGCTGCTCGGTGTGTGTACTGCAGGGATCTTGTACTGTGTCCGCCGGAGTGGGTCTTCCATTGTGCTCGTATTCAAGACACGCACCTAGCGAGATATGTCACGAGATAATCCCGTCAGTATCCCTGTCACAGGGCGTTGACCATATGCGGGGCTCGGGATAAATCAGCGACGCAGGTTAAGTGTGCTGAATGTCATGATTTGCCAATTCAAATCAGTCTCGAGCTCCAGATGCATCACACTATCCCCGGCACGACCGCAGAGATGTGTTCTGCGGGGGATCGGCACTCGTCTGGGGTCGAGCCGCTTGCCGTTTAGGCTAAATACAAATCCTCATCTAGATCGGCACTTTGAAGGATACAAACAAGCCGTCTACCTGAGCTTCGCCAGTGGGAAGTCCAGGTTCATGGAACTATTTTCACAATCGTATCATGACGGCGGACAATTGCCCAAACTAGAACAGAGCGGGAGACACTCCGTTAGACGATTGGAAGGTCACCCTCATCGTGCAAGTAAGGTTGTCAGTGGACGTGCTCGGCTCGATAGCATATAAAAAGCGGCAATGGAAACGGCACTACAGGGCTACCGAAGTGTTATCGAGTGTTTTTTTTTTTTCAGAATACGAAAGTCGTGAGTGAGGCTCCTGAATATCGAGTCTTGAGGTTAGATCTGCCTCGATCCCAGAAGAATGCGCTCTCGTTCTTTCCTCTTCGGCCTGGTTGGTCTGATCAGTGCTGTTTCTGCTGCACCACAAGTGCCGCCACCTCCCCAGGCAAGACCACACCACCCTCCACCTCCACCACCACCCCCTCATCACTCTGTAAAACCATGGTCGACATTTGACGAAAATGTCATCTACCAGCCCGATGACAAGCACAGTGTTCTCTACCCGCGTCAGGTCGAGCTTTCGGACGGGAGTCTGTTGGCCACGGCCTCATACTCAGGAGATCAGCCTCCTTACTTCCCCATATTCCGGAGTGCCGATGGTGGTGCGACTTGGTCATGGTTCTCCAACCTGACTGACCAGGTGAATGGGCTAGGAATGTCCGCCCAGCCTGCTCTGGCGGAACTGCCTTTTGCCGTCGGCGAGTACCCTGCCGGCACAGTCCTCGCCAGTGGAAACAGCTGGGGAAGCGACAGCACCAACATCGATCTGTACGCGAGCAAGGACAAGGGTCGTACTTGGAAATTTGTTAGTAATGTGGCCCGAGGTAGCGGGCCCAACACCACAAATGGCAACCCTTGCATTTGGGAGCCGTTCATTGAATGAGTCAAATCTGTATCATATCGGTGGCATACCAGATTGGGGGATTTCTAGCTGATGTCTTTCAACCTCGCAGATTCTTCAACAACACGATCGGAGTCTTTTACTCGGATCAGCGTGATCCACTCCACGGACAAAAGCTGGCCCATCAAGAGTCAACTGATCTCAAATCCTGGGGTGCTGTCATAAATGACGTGGCCTATCTCAACTACACGGCCCGTCCCGGTATGACAACGATCGCATACATGCCTCCGATTCAAAGGTGGATTCTGACGTACGAATTTCCGGGGGGGAGAGCTGGAGCGGCGTTGGATATCCCGTCTACTACAGAATTGCCGACAGCCCTTTCGACTTCCGCTTTGCATACGGGGTTCCTATAATGGTCAACGGAGTCCAACCGAGTTCCTCCCCTTATGTGGTCTGGTCATCCGTCGGAGGTCCGAATGGCACCATTATCGTCAGCGACGCGGATAACAGTGGTGTCTTCACCAACCGCGCGAGCGGACAACCTGATCAGTGGGAATTGCACGAAACGCCGCAACCGCCAGCTTACAGTCGCAGTCTTCATATTTTTTCCAAGAATCCTGACCATTTGATGCTCCTGGGTGCTGGTGTGTTTGGAGGAACCACGAACCTGCCGCTGTATTTGAGTGTCGTTAGTGTCTCGGATACCTTGAGAAAGCCAAGTGGAAAGTAGAAAGCTTCTTGAAGTCTTTTTCAAAGACTTTTTCGAAGAGTCTTTCCAATACTCTGTACATGACTCCGTCTACCTATCAATTAGCAGTGTATTCTTTTTGATGCACCATTCATGTTGGAAGAATTACCAGTATATCATATTACTCGATACCAAAAAAAGCATTGAAGCACTGCGTTGTGTGTGACGTATGGGCAGCCGCATGGTATGAAGCCATGACATGGAAACCAAAAGAGAACGAGGATCATGGGTAGAAAGGACAAGAGTACATGCTCGAACCTGAAGGCATGCCTGGACCCCTACTGCTTGATTCATGACCGCTGTGTACATGGAGGTGTTCTTCGGCTGTCTTGGCTTTTGGCATCTCCTTTGACTTCGCCTTTTGCATCGCCTTTGGTAGGCAAGAACTATGATCAGGCGGAGCGAGTCTTACAACTCGGGGGTCTAAGAATTTAAATCATGGAAGAAGTGAAATACAATACTGTGCTTATTGTTGGTTTTTCACGCATGAGGCTAAAGCGCCCATTAGGTAATTATCAATTCACAGCACTTTTTCGCAGTGTCTCTTCGGAGCGTCTTACTCTCTCGCCGTTCCAGCTCGAGCTTCAGGTAGGATTCAGCTCAGCCAGAAAGTCGCTCATTTCTCATTGTCCCACTCCAATAGCCCGTCCAGCTAGCTTCGGTATCTCTGTCTGGAATGTCTGTGCTTGTTTTGCCCGCCACGGACACAGAGATCCCACAAGTGAACTCGTTCTCCATGTCTTTTTTTGTCAAAGACATCAATACTCTGGTTTAATACCCAAAGCCAAAACCAAAACACGATCCATGCAGTATACAAAGTAGCCCGTGAAGCAGTCTCGAGAATTGAAGCAGTCATAAGTTTTGTAAAGAAAAGCGTATTGTACACCCGAGCTAATTAATCTATAATTTGTCAAAATTCATGGTGAAAAACTCAAAGACATGGACGGGACTCAGATACCCATGGTCCATGGGGTATTATAAAAGACATTCCAGAGGCAGTAGATATTCCACAGCCGGCTTGAAGATGACAAGGTTCTTTTGTCGGTCGTGGCTATATTTCTGCAACAAGGAACAACCCGGTGACAACATTCAAGTCCACCTGAAAAGTGGCGATCATTGTATTGCCCTGCAACTGAAAAGGCAGCCGTGCTGATTCGATCGAACATGCTGGCAGATCACCGCGCAATGCGGGCTTCACTTCCTTCGCTGAGACTTCTCCAAGGCTCGGCGTGCTCGCATTTCGCGCTTCTCAAAAGGGCCGTCGAAAATCGCTGGTAGGATTCTCTTCGCATTGGCGTGTTCAGCATCGAATTCGAGGTTTTTCCACCCATTCCTCTGACAAAGTTGGACGGCTTCCTCCAACAAGCCCTTTCCAACTCCCTTGCCCCGATACCTCTGCAAGACGGTCCATCCACGGATGACGCCGCGAACATTGCGACCATCACGGACTTTCTTGACAATCAAGGCTCCAATGATCGTCTCGCCAAACTTGGTCACAATGATCTTCTGCTCACTTTGCTGTGCTTTCGCGTCTTGATGCTCGTCAGTACCCTCCAGCCATGCTCTCGTGCCCACCCGCTCGGCATGATCGATGTAGCCGCCCGTGCACACACGCACGACCATCAACCCTGCCATGACACAGCCTGCGCCCGTGGTTCCGACCAGGGCCAAATCCGACCGCTCATGATACATGATCTTATAGATCACGGCAATCACCGCCAGCATGGCGCCCAGCCAAACAGGATGGAAGATGATCGCGCGGGCAGCGAGTTGCCGCTGTTGCGCCACCGAGTCTGCGACCAGTCGATGCGCATCGGTGACTTCTTGCGGGTCGGTGGTCACGTAGGTAGACAGTTCAGGGATAGGCTTGGGCGATGTTTCGCCAGAGTTATGTGTCATGGCTGACGAGGAATGCTGTTTCTGATCGGCCATGTTGGGTTTTCTTGTAGCGAGAGACACTTCTTTGTGGGCACAGGTTGTGAGTGTCGCGCGCACTACAACTGTAGACAGAAATGAAGATTACTCTCCGGGGACGCAGCGCCGGTATTGATTGAGAGTTGGTGGACAAGAGCCCGGCAGGGCAAAGTAGAAGTGTCGAGCGGCAGCACCCAAAAGCGACGGGGCTGAGGTGGAAAGGGAGTCGTTGGCGCGGGAAGATTGACTGAGAAGAGAGAAACAAAAAAGTTGGGGGCTCCTGGGCAATTTAAGTCAATTCTCAGGTTGGTCTGGCCAGATCTCCTAGCTTCGGTAGAGACCTACCTTTCGCCTCTGTGCTTGTTACATTTCCACTCTTAAGCTGCCGTTGGTCAACGCTGGCTGGACTTCCTCGTCTGACTCCTTTGGCGAACCGCGGGAACATGACTTTTACTAAACCTAGCATGTCTGGAACCGGCTTGAGGACACAGCGATCTACAAAATAATGCCAATGTGTGAGCCGCTTCACTTCATGTCTTGTTATCAAGATTATGGCATGCAACTTGACTCTGACTGCTTAGTTCAGCCAGTCGGTCCGTTCTATTAATAAGCTAAGAGGTTTGAAATATTGGGGTATGTGGTACAAAAGATATAAAGGAAGAAAGTGAAGAGCAAGGGGGACCGAGGCGATGCCCAAGGCGTTGAGAAAAGAGTGTGCTCTCCCCATCATCACCCAGCGAATATTGCAATCACCTCGGATCTAGTGTCCAGGCTTCTCATTTTAAACGGGGGAGGTCTCCTCCGCCGCATTAGCACCAGCGTGCTTCTCAGGGTGAATTATGGGAGAGGGGTTGACCAGAGTATCCGCCTCTTCGCCAGAGAGCTCCTCCAGAGTGCGGCGCTTGGTCTCAGGGATGAGCAGAGTGGTGAAGCAACCGCACAGCATGAAGAGAGCGAAGATTTGCATGACATGCTTGAGCCAGGGAGTGGCGGAGGAGCCAGCGGGAGCACCGCGGTGGACGAGAGGACCGAACACGCACTGGGCGATGATGGCACCAACCTTGCCGGAGGCAGCGGAGATACCGTGAGAGGTAGAGCGGTAACGGGTGGGGAAGCACTCTCCAGGGACAATGAAAGTGGTCGCGTTGGGGCCGAAGTTGAAGAAGAACTGGGCAATCACGTAGAGACCTAGCAGGCCATTGTTGGACTTGAGCAGCGGGTCGTAGGCGAAACCGATCACAATGAAGACGATGGTCAAGACCACGAAGCCCATGAGCTGAATGGTCTTACGGCCAATGGTGTCAACGGTCGCCACAGTGACCCAGTATCCAGGAATAGCACCGGCACAGATCAGAATCAGGTTACCGACGGCAGTACGGCGAAGGATCTCGTAGACGTTGGCGCCGCCGGACCATCCGATAGCACCCAGAATGATGGAGTTGTTTAGACCCAGACCGTAGAAAGCTGGAGGGTGCATGGGTTAGATATGGACCGAATGGGCAAAAAAAAGGTGGAACGGAGGGTCCATAGCAAACTTACCGACATCAAGGAAGAACCAAGAACCAGCAGTACCGAGAAGAATACGCCCATTCTTCCACTGAGTGTAGTGACGGACAAAATCAGCCCAGCTGGCCTTGGGGGCGACAGCGTCCACGGTGTGGCTCTGAATGGCGGCGGCACGGTTGACCTCGTCGGGGTGGCCCTCACGCTTACCAGCGATGTAGGCGCGTACATCCTCGTCGGCCTTGACAACATCACGGGCCACGTCGAAGGTATAACGAGGAGTCTCGGGAATGGTGAGACGGTAGTAGAGAGCAATGCAAGCAGGGACGGCACCAAAGCCAATGACCACACGCCACATCTTATCAACCGCGAGCTGGCAGACACCGCTGCACTTGCCCACGCTGGAAGCGGTCTCCAGGGACTCCTTGAACCCCGCGGTCACAATGAGGGCGACGATGGCAGCAGCGAACTGACCGAAGCCCTGCATGGCAAAGACCGATCCCATCATGGCTCCACGCCACTTGGTTGTCGCGAACCTGTAGCCGGAATCACATTAGCATCACCGCATCCACAACCTGGATTGCATTGCGTGAATGAGGTCAGGCGAGGGGAGGGGGAAGCTGTATTGATGGAGAACTTACTCAGAGGTAATGATCGAAGACAGAGGGTAATCACCACCAATACCGATACCCATGATGACACGCCAGAAGATGAGCAGTCCCACGATGGACATGGCAGGAGAATCGGAGGAGAGAGCCTGGGCGAGAGTGGCGAAGATGATGATGATCAATTCGATGCCGTACATGCGCTTACGACCGATTCGATCGGCGAGCCAACCGAAGAGCAACTGTCCGATGACCGTACCGCCCGAAGTCGAGACCTTGATCGCAGTATCCGCGGAAGAGGGGATTTTGCCCGCATTCTTGCCGCTGGCATCTTGCCAGAAGACAATACCCAACATGGCCGAGGCCAAGTTGATGGCGAAGATGTCGTAGGAATCGGTGAAGAAACCGACACCGGCCACGACAACGGCCCGCACATGGTACCAGCCGAACTTGGCATTGTCAATCTCGGCCAAGGCCATGCGACGACGCTCGACGGGGTCCTCGATGTGAGCGAAGTCATTGTTGTGATTGCGGAACGCGGAGTTTCCGCCCGAGGTCATAGTGGTCGCCATGACTTGGGTCAAAAAGAGGGATCAACCGGAAAAGGGGATGCCACCTCTGTCAAGAGCCTTGGCAAATTCGCGTGAAAGGAGAGAAGACGGGGATGAAGGAGATATTCCAGACGACTCACACTTTCTCCAGCCCACGGAGGGAGGGGGTGCACCCTTTATTTAAGAGTCTCTTTGGTATCTCACGCATCAACCATTTTTCTCCCAGCTAGACAGAAGACCCTATGCCATTCGGACGTTGGTACTTCTTTGGGACGACAAGCCGTGGATGGTTCCTTCTTTTCTTTTTTTTTTCCAGCTCAGAAGTGTATCATAATGATCACAATTATCCCTCGGCCAAAGGAAAGTCATATCGACTCCCGTCTGGGCAATCGAGGCCAAGAGGGGCTTGGGTAGGCTTGTCGGTCGTATGGGATACCTTGGCAAAGGCTTGCCTCGAGCGGTCTTCGCTCTGGTCCATCCTCGGTCGGGTGAGGGATCAGGACGCCGGACGGGTGAACCACAGTGCTCGACCTCGCATCGTGCTGCATCGGACGTCTCTGACTGGACTACACTTGGTCAGCTATGCCAAGCCCGTTGCCCGCGGGAACGCCACTCGCTCAGCTCGAGCGACCTTCGCGGCGTCGGCCACCGGGCGACTGGGCGTGAACTAGCGACGCGACAGAAGAGAGGGACTGGCTCCGCGTGCCCGCCAGCGCAGTCTGAGAGGTAAATTGGGCGTTCCTCGAGGGCTTGCCAAGAGTCTTGGGCGCCGTGAGCCATCGGTGCCAAGACCTGTCGGTTTGCGCCTCCGGTCGACCCATTTGGACCGGGCTGGAACTCTCTGGGGTCACCGTCGACTCTCGTGTCCAGACGAGCGCACGTGGGGTGGCAGACGTGACCAGGCAGATTCGAGAGCCCCCTTGGATATCCCGTCGAGCGAGTTTCACATACCAGCAGCACCACATGATGATATTGAGTACACTTGCTTATAAGCAACTGGGTCACCTCGGTTCTCACGCCCACGTGTGCAAGGACCTGGCTCGAACTTTGTGAGGGCCCTGAAACGAGCGTTTCCTCTTGACTCCAAAGGGGAGTTGGTCTGGGCAGTGGTACTGGTCACTGGTCACTGGTCACTGGTCAGCCCCCTGGTGATCCCTTCAGAGTTCAGACACGCCCTTGCGGCTGATTGTGCGGTGGGCAGCGCGATAGAATTGCCACTCGTTCTGTCGCACAATACCCGCGCCACGACGAGGCCACGGAGTGAGGTGCGGAGGGTAACTGGTATTGTGTAGGGCAGTGACCATGCAACCCGGCATCGTGGCTATGACGGTGGTGTGACGGCAGGGCAAATGAAGTACTGAGTACGTAGACAGGGGCGGAGATTTCAATTGACTTTCTCGCAGATTCATTGCCGTCTATCGTCTATGCCTTACTCTCCACCGCAGGTTCTTCAGTCTTTCCATGTCTCGGTGATGAATCTGTCCACGGAAAGAGTTGGCGATAAGGACGGAGTAGTGCAATCGAAGCTGGTGTCGAGTGAAGATGCGTCGAATTCGACAGCCAATGGATGGTGCACGTGCCCAAGTTTAATCCCCCCTCCCCACACGGTCTATCCCACTTAGGGGAGCCCCGACGGAAATACCCGACAAGGTAAAGCGCTTTGTTCGTGCGAGTCAACCCCGTCATACTTCTTCTTCTTCTAGGCCGTCTAGACCAAGTTAATCCCTTTCTACCTTCTACTACTCTCCACAAGACGGGTCTTCCCAATGGATGAGCTCTGGTCGGTGTCACTGGTCACGACTCGCCAGTAGTATGAGAGTGGCATTGCCCCCTCAGCTCAAGTTGTGGAGAGTGAGACGGTTCCGCTTCGCCTACAGTACACATCGTCGATGCGATGGAAGAGACACCCGGCGGTGAACCTTCCATTCTACCCGGCAATACGAGTCTAGACCAGCCCGCCTCGCATTCTGATCGCGAGCCGAAACCTTCTTCGTGTACATGCGCCAGAAACAATCCAAAGCAGCTTTCCACGTGTACTCAATCTCCCTCTAGAGCCTATCAGACCCTGCCACTGACCTTCTCGGTGGCGTTGGCATGACTGCTGCTCTCGCTCTTACCGCAGTACAAGTGAATGACGATGCAATATTGGTCACTACTCACGGCCGGGCTTGGCGGACCTCGACTTCCACGAACTTTGCTTTCAAGTTTGGACCGTGCCGGCACATGTGAGCATGTTGGACACGATCTTGTCCCAAGCGTTCATGCAAGTCATCGGACATGCTGCGGAATAATGCGCCGAAGGAGGAATCGACAGGTTGGTGGACCTCGATCAGGTAGGTGATCAGCTCGTGCACGCGGGTGAAAACATGCGACGAAGAAGCACTGCCTGATCAAGCGGTTACCTGCCACTGCCTCGGTGATGAATTTATAATCGAATTACATTCCAAGCAATGGACTCTGATCTCTCTCCTGTAAGTGCAGTGGACGGGAATTGAAGGTCTCCGATCATGACCCAGCAATTATAGGCATTTATGATAGGTAATGATTCCAGTCATTCCTCACACTCATCCTCTGGGGCCAGGTCAACAGGTCAGACTCCTTTTCAAGGACAGTATATGACGGAGACATGCTATTTATAGATTCTCAAGTGACACGTTTCTCCACCTTGCAAGCTACGCTCAGATTTGCCCATCCTCAGTCACTTACAGATGTGGGAGAGATCTTTCGCCGGATCGTCAAGTGACAAGCCACGGATAAGCAATTGACAAATCAGCACCCGATCAGCATCAACTGCGAAACTCGTGGCAATCAAACGTCGGAGGCTCGTCAATTACCCCGGTCGAAGATGATGATCTCTAGCCGACCACCGATCGCAGCCACCGTTCTCGGCATCATGGCAATTGGGCTGACTTTCGCCGTCCACGTCCATGTCCATGTCCATGTCCACAGTCCACAGTCTCACGGCACGGTCTCTGTCCAGCTTCACTACCGGCAACATTCATAGCCACAGAATTCCCATCGTGCATCTCTCACGCTTCACCTTTCGGCACTGATTGGCCTGGCAAGGAAACACAGAGTCCGTGAAGCCCCCGTCGTTCCGTAAGAGTGATTGATTGTAGCTGATATCTCGTCACAATGGTCCGAGGGGGCTGTCAAACACGGTGCTTCTCGAATCTGAATCATCCCTGTCGCCCCGCTGTTTTCCAATAGCATGAGTCTCGAGCTTCACCATGACCACGGCGAAAACGGTCTCTTGTGGAGTGGCTGAGCAACAAGACTGCTTCCTTGGTGTCTTCATCCATGCCTTCGCTCAAAAGATCCCGGTCCCTCGAGCTGGCTAACTCGGTCTGACTCTATCACCAAGTGTCTTTGCCGATCTCCAATATCTGTGTCACCATCGGGTTTTAAGAATTCTGCTCAGCAGGATTAGACAGATGAAATGATGGCGCTTCTGATCAAAAATCAAGTCATGTTGAACACCAACTGATTCTACAACCAGCTTCCAGTCCTGTCAGATAGTGGTAGGGAATCAAGACTTTGACCGAAGAACATCCCGCCTATGTGGAAGGCCAGGAACCCTGCTGGCTTCCATCATTCGCTTCCGACTAGTTGACACGTTTTCAGGCATCCTGTCTTTATTCTTCTTCCGTGGTGCGTGTTGAGATAGCTTGGTGGTTTGGCGCGTCTCACCAGCGTGGTGCGCGCCCACGCACACCACCTTCGTAGCTTAGATAGGCACCTCTCACCAGATTCAATCTCACCATTCCTTTCTCCCCTCTTTTGGGTCTGCTACGTTCTCCCAGTAGCATCTAATAGGTTATAAGCCCTGCTTAGCGCATAAAGAGTAAGGTTATTTACATTTCCTTACTGCCTAGGCATAACTTGCAAAATAACCTCTTTTTCCATCGTTTTTCGGCGCGTTTTACGCCTTTAACAGAGTACAGACTTCGTACCTCTTTACGACTTAACGATCCCTATATATATAATACGGCTAACAAAGCTATCGTATCGAATCATCGCTAAAATCCCTCCTTCGGCTCTAACGCCTCTTATACCAAATCGAATCTTCCTAGTATTTTTGCGATTCTTAGAGCTTTTACGCTCTTAACCTATATAGCGGTAAATCGTCGTAGTAGGATATCTACACAGTAGTACTTCGCCGTAGTAGGCTTACTATATAATATATCTTCGTTATAGTAGATCTTATACCTTCCGGCTCTTACGCTATCTCGAATACGTAATATTTAACGATTTAATATAGTCTCCGATCTTAAGGCTTATAAAGCGGCTAAAGTCTTCGCCGAATTAGTCCCTACGCTTAAGGGAAGAGCTAACTTCGAGAAGTAGAAATAGAGGCTTTAATTTATTACAGGTAGCCTAGACGAAGACCTATAGTCTATTATTATAGGTAAAATAATATATCCTATTCAAGAGTCTTATAATACTCCTATAGAGGAAGCTATTTAAAACGTCCTTTTCGTTTAACTTAGACGAGAGTCTACCGAAGAGGAATTTAATAAGTAGATTAATAAAAATATAACTTAACTAAATAACCGATTTTACTAGTTTCGCCGAAAATATATACTTATAAAATACCTTATCTATTTTATACTTAGCGATTTAGCTCGTAGCTTTATATATAATTATAAAGATTCTTATAAAATCTTCCTTTATATTAGTAATATATATAGTACTAGTAACTATACTACTTTAAGCTATAGGCTATTATCGTTAATTAAGCTTATCTATACTAGTAGTAATCCGTATAATTTTGTTATAAAATAGTAAGCTACGCTAGATCTTATAAATTTAGCTATTCTAAATATACTATTACTATCTAAATAGGCTCTAGCTTATTTTAAGCTTATAATTAATAGCTACTAAAGTATTAAAGGTTTCTTAAATATATATAAACCTCTAACTAATCTAGATAGTATACTTAATTATATTTTCGGTAAATTTATTAAATATAAGTCGAATAAAAAGTCTATAAATATAGTAATTATAGCCGTTTCTACCTTAAAAGATATAAAGTCTATATAAAATAACGATCGAGGCAGAAGTAGAGGTAGAGGCCGAGGAGATAGAGGCTATAGTAGAGGCTCCGGATAAGATCGTAGCTAAAGTTAAAATAATAAGGATAATAATAATTAGCTATTATACTATTATATCTACTATAAGCGTTTAATAGCTTATACTAGTAAATAGTACTTTTTTAACCCTAAATCTAAGAGTATCTCTTAAGACGGAGTTAATATAGCTATAGTAACTACCTCTAACTCGAAAAAGGATTCTAAGGAGAAGTCTAAAAAGAAGATTTCTATAAGCTTCGCCGAAATAAGCTCTTCCGTAGTTAATATTATAGCTCTATTAATAGATAACGACGAATAGTATATTTAGATAGTAGACTCTAGTATATTAGTATATATAATACCTTATCGTATAAATTTTATTAATTTTACCCCGCTTATTACTAATATAAAACTTCTAAACGGTTATTAAGTATAGACCGAAGGATATAGTAATATTATCCTAAATTTTTTAACTAGAAGTACTATCTTAGAGCTTAAGCTATTTAAAGTCTAGTATATTCTATCTTTTTATATAAATCTTATATCCTCTTAGTAACTTATAGCGGATTCTAGTATTAAGACTCGATTTAATAAGAAATATAGCTCCCTCTTTAGGGGGGAAGAGCTTATTATAACGGCTAAATAGTATAATAGTTAATACTAGGTTTATATATATAATAGTAATAGTTATATTAATACTCTAGATACTCTATCTATTTAACTATCCTATATATTTAGTAATAGCTATATACTCGCTATAGATTCGGTTATAGCTTCTTAAATCGGTAAGATTTAATCTATTTTAATAGACCTAGCTTATTAGAGAGCCTATTATATAGGCGAGTAGAAGGTAAAGCGTATACCTAAATATACTAAAGGAATTAATATTAAAA